AATATCTCACGGCGCTTCGCGCTTGGTGATGTGAGAGCCTGGTCCGGTGAGAACCCGGCGTGCTCCGTCCCGGCTTTGTAGGGATGCGAGGTCAATGGTCTAACGGCTACGGCATGCACGACTATGAGTACAACCCCCCCCCACCCCCCCCCACACACAACCGCCACCATCACCACAATAGCAACAAGTACTGATAGCACTGTTACTACACACCTGCACGTTGAAGTCTATCTTGGCGACATCGATCTTCCTGGTCTCCTGCCCGTCCTTCAGGTAGGCCGAGAAGGCGGCCTCGTGGTCGCCGCCGATAGCCAAGTCGTTCATCATTCCCTCCATCTTAGACGTGAACTGCGACCCGCACTTGAGCTTGAGCTTGCCTAATAGTTTTCGCCACCAACAACCAAGAAGAAAGGAGCAAGACAGGGTGCAAGACATAAGCCCACAAGAAAGGGGGCAAGAAGGGTAAAAGGCACCAACTCAGTTGTACCCCAAACAAGTACGTTACGTTACCAACAACGGTTGATGCCAAGGCGTGGGCCACGTGCTGAAAAAGAGCCTCTTGTCAATGGCCGTCCGCCACTCGGTTGCGTCGCCAAGAGTAAAAACACGTCACCAAGAGTAACAACACGTCGCCAAGAGTAAAAACACGTCGCCAAGAGTAAAAACACTTGGCACGCAAGAACGTCTCTACATGTGCTGGTACGCAAACAAGAAAGCAATAAAAAAAAAAAACGCGCCCTTTTATGTACGATAGTCATCCCGCAACGTCGCAGAAGCGGAAAGGTTTTGGTACGTACCGGTCTGACATAAACAGAAATGAGAACAACCCAACAAAATACGCACCAATCATGAGCCTCTCCATGTCATCCGACGCAGAGCGCGAGTTGAGCAGACGCCTGGCAAGCTGGTTGCGGTAGATCTCCGCGAATAGATCCTTGTCCGTCAGGTAGGAGAACAGCTGAACCACCTTGGCCAGATACTCCTCCACCTGATGACCGGTGTTTGGCCAGGTCAATCAAGTCCAGAGATCGTCATGGGCAACGTCGGGTCAGCAACGTCCACCGAGAAGAGGGACAACAGAGGAACATTTTCATTGGCCGGCTGGTTAGCGCGGCCGATACCAACATGACCGTGAGAAGCGTTTTTTCGGTGTTGCCCGCCGCGCTGAGACTGACGTATTTTCGTTGGCCAGTCGTTTAACGCGGGCGATGTCATCAAAACAACAAAAAAAACGCAGAAAAGAGAGAGTGAGAGATGCCCAAGACGCACCTCCGCATCGCCGAGCTTCTCCCCCCCCGTCTTCAGGATGCGGTCGCAGAAGCTGCACATCAGGTCGGCGTTCTTGAACTTGCCCACGTCGCGGTTCACGAAGTCCACGAACGCCTGCAACACATGAGCAACGGTTGTCGCCCGTCATCACCGCGGATCAGTGTCCCGCGGGCACACCGGAGTCTATGAATAGCAAGCGCGGAAGGCCCCCCTCCCTCCCTCCTACGCAACGCGCGGCGTCCCCCCTGTACGTCTCCCGGAGGTACACCTAACCCAGAAAACAGAAGGACAGAACACCCCCCCGTACATGCAACCCGCGGCACCCCCCCCCCGTAAGCACACCGCAGACACAAATAGAAGGGACGGAACCCCCCCCCCCCCCCCCCCC